ATGCGCGGTCGGCTCGCGTTGTTTCGATCCCGCTGCAAATCTCCGCGTTTCAACGCGATTTGAGGCGGATTTCACGTTTTTGTTTTCTCCTCTTCTCTTCTTTTGCGCGCGTATGTGTTTTTGCGAGATGTAGGTATTGATTGAAAGAGAAATTGTCATGCGGGATTTTTCCGACTGGAAACTGCGAATGAGCAGGAATTTTTTGTTCCACTGCGGGACACGTGGAATTCGAAATCAAGAGAGAAATATCTAGTTTTCCCTTCCATAGATTCCTGCCATGTAGATACGCGTTTTAAACTCGAGTAATTTGTAGCTTTAATTGAATTTTATGAGCTGGCAATCCGAACTGACAGAGTAGAAATTTTATTTCATAATACGACGCGACGGTGCAACTTTCAATCATGCGAGCAATTTCTATACTCTTCGTCACCACCTCTCAACCAGGTGGAGATCAATTAAATCGAAAACTTGGCAAACCTTCAACGATATGAACCCTCAAGGTGGAGGTAGATTAAGAAGTTCTAATTCGTTTGTGATTTTTGTATGTCTATTTGAAGAGATTTGTAGTGTGTGTTGAAGTATTTTGTATGAACGTAAGAGCCTACTTTTCTCTAAGTATGAAATCTGTGTCGTGAGGCACGTAACTGTTCGCGTAAGTGATGAACGAGCGAGTGATGAACGTAAGTGACGAGCGATGAAAGAGTTATGAACGTAAGAGAGTATGAAACGTATGAGATCTGTCTTATTCTCGAAGCACGTGTTGCTTACATTTCAAGTGTCTGTCTAGGGGCTACGTTTTCGTCAACGTTTTCTACGACGTAGAAATCTATATCTTTGCAATCATGCGACTGTCAAACTGTCGTGGTCGCCTTGCAAGTGGTGCGTCCACTGCGTACCTGCTTGAGAGTACGTAGCGTTAGCGACATCATCCGGTGACCTATTGTCGGGTTCTAATCCGGGATCGAAGTTTATCACACGTCATCTGTTGTTGCGCGGACCTGACGAGCGCTTAAAAATGCTAACCGTGTCGTGGACGTGATTCGAATTGTAAAGTTTATAATATGCAATGTAGGAAATTCCAACTTCTCGGAAATAGCAGATGTACTGTCCGTATCGTAAAGTTGGGATAATCTCGTATCCTCGATGTTCCTTTTCCAAATTTCATACCAAATTTATCGTTCGTAAATAGTAGTTGGCGAATGATAAATGTGAAAAATAAAATTTCGCTCGAATATTTACACAAGATAGAATGAAGATGCAGCGAAAGAGAACAGGGAAGAATGTACGGAGATCTGGTATTTAGCTGCAAGACGTTACTATAATACTTCCGGTCATTAAAGAGCCAGCGGCTTTTCTGCGAGCAAGAGGTCGAAGTACAACGTGAAAGTTCCTCTGCTCTTATGTAAGCCGCCTCGAAAAGAGAACGACCATGTGCTTCTACGTTGACGGAGGCTATAGCGATCCGTCACTTTCCTTTTCACGGGTTATTCAATCTTCCGACTTTCTACGACGCCTGAAGCGTGTTTCATTCGAACATCGCTTGTCCCTGAATCTTATTTCGCATCATTTAGTCCCTACAAGCGACGGTAATCGGTGGAATCGATATGATATCATTTCGTAATTGATTGCAGAAACGTCTCTCTTTTTTCGTTTTCTTGTTCTTGTTTTCCGGAGATTGAAAACAGAGAAATAGAATGGTAGCTCGGCTTTAAAGGTTAATTCGTGGTCGTTGCTCGGCTACGATGCTTCCGTTCATCTCGCGAAATTACATACAGCTCTTTACTTCTCCACGCGGAAATTAAATTTCGTTTCGACCGTGTCGAGCTTAATTGACAGAAATTAAGCTCCGAACCTTCCGTGCTCTTTCTTCCGTTAGAGCAATTAATTAAATAATTAAATAATTGATATCAAGTAAGAATAGCTTTTGGTAATGAATTGATAAAATTCTGTCAGATTTACCTGACAGATATTATTGAAACATCGACGTACATGTTTCTCATAATTCATATATTTTTTAATACTCTAATTTAATCATGAAAATCCGTGTAAATAAAATTGAAATAATTGAGAAACGTAACTTTGTATAATTTAATATTCGTTTTAAACAGGTTCATAGCTGCCACTGAGTAGTTTTGGTTTCCAAAACTACATCAGAAAATCACCAAAGAATATACGAAATGTGTAAAGAATACAATGCTTAATCTGATATCCCAGTTTCGATACGGTCGAAAAGAGATTTGTGCACTAAAATCGACGATCTACAAAATCCAAGTTATGGTCACAAATGTGACCATAACTTTTGTCAATACACGCGATAAATCAAAACACTCGTAGTAAATGCAAAGGCTGATCTTCGATCATTGGCCCCGAATTTTCCACTCGTTCCCCAACGAAGCATCAAATTAAAATACACGCAAACGAACAGGAAAAGGAAATAAAAAGAAGGCGGGAAAAGTCGAAAGTTAAAGAACCAACAAGGAATGATGTCACGGTGGATCGTGATGGTTAACGTCCCGGAAGGATTCGTGCTTTATATTTACTTTTATGCGTGCGTAAACGCCGTTCCCATAGCGAGGCCGATTTTTATGGAACCGCTCCGGGTTAAACCGATCAAGATGGAAAAGCTAAGAAGCCGTTTTGCGTTTGCTCGTTATGCTCGCCTCGAGGCTGCGATCGTAAACGGGCAAACAGGGAGATTTCCCTTTTGCGGGCGCGAGGCATCTTCCTCAGGGTCCATGCGTGACGAAACTGTTTCTTACGACGATCAGCCCTCTTCTTCCGACTTCCCGGACGATGGAACGTGAGTTCCCATATTTTCGTTGACAAGATATGGCGGACGCCTTTCTTCATCGGCAGTTGCGGTCGCGGATATTATGGATCGTTGTGTCTTCTTTTGGTTTCATATATTTGATATGGAAGAAGGTTGACGTGTAAAAATGACTCTTCGCGATAAACGCGTTTAAAGTTCTACAAATTGTCTATTTTCATCGTTAATACAGTGGCCATAAGTGGTATTTGCGCACTATTGTATTTATTATAGCGTCTATGTACTGGTTGATCAAGTCCGAGTATATTGAGATTTCCATATCGTTTGATAGTACTTTCGTATGACTACGAGATTTGACTAGGAAAATGGAACTCAATGAAACAAATGCTTCATTGAAAAATGAGAATATATACTTGTAAACACTTGGTAGTTATTGTGCATGATTCTGATTGTGAGTTGTGAAGCGAATAATTATTCTACGAGATTGGGGTTGCTCTCATTGCAAAGAGACTTTTGTCTATAAAAATCACGAAGAAGTCGAAATCGAGTTTTTGCATCTGAACTTCCTTTTACCAGAACATGTCGCGTATCAACGAGTGATGTATTATATTTGTGAGCTATATAGGAATTTTTAAAGTCGAGAACGATTGGGAGATGTTGGAATCATCTAATAAATTTTCTCACGTATTTCCATTTAATTTGTTAGTTAGAGATCCATTTGTGAGCTATTTTGTAATTTTTAAAACCTAGCAATGATTGGTAAATGCGTTGATCATGTAATGATTCTACGCGTTTTAATAGAAGTTCCTTCGCGTGTGCTCTTTATTTAAATCTCTTTCTGATATACGTTTTAATTGTGTTGTAATTACTAAAATTATCGCGATAATTCATTCTGTAAATTTATTTATTTTTATGAATTAATTCATTTTATGAAACGCGATGGGTTTCAGCGAGGGTTTTAAACAAAGTGAGAGATAAAGGGAGATGTTTCTGTTTCAACAAATAAGATACCAACGAGGATTAGAAACCATGGAAACGTTTCTTTCACAACCTTTATTTACAGATTCTATGCTGATATGCGTGTTAATTATAATTCTCTTGGATCACGCAATTAGATAGTAAAAGTTTCAGAAAAGATACACGAATAAAATACGTTTTTATAAAGAATCAGGAATATCTGCGTTGAAATCTTTGAATATTAAAAAGGATTCGTCGAAATTATAATAATAACGGTGTAATTAATATTACATGAGATTGCATTATTGATTTTTTTATATTGATTATATTATATGAGAAAAGAATCTAAATGAAGCATCCTTATAAAGAAACGAGGAGGAAAGTATCGAAGTTTTTGAACACTAAAGCAGAATTACCACCAAAATTCCAATAATAACGACACGGTTAACGTTACGAGATATCAGAAAATAATCCGAATAAATAATATACGCACAGAAAATTGTATTAAATAGTAAAATCTACTGGAATCGAAAGTTGGAAACGGAAGTACCTCGCGTGGCGAGCGCCGACCGGAGATTCCCAATTTTCCCACATTTCTTCTGAGTTGGTGCACAGGACGGAACCAGAGAAAGGCTGGTTCGTGCAATTTGCAGTCGGTTTCATCGAGCGTAACGATTCTGGTGCACGTATTTACAGACAGCAGTCGATATCGAAAGTAAAAGGCAACTCGCCTTGTGCCTGTTCTTATGCGGCTTGTTCTCAACCAGTTTATCATGGTCAAACGTTGCGAAAGTGGAGTCGATTTCGTGCGTGCCAGTGCCGTCGACGCCCGTCGATTATTCTTTCGATCGTTTCGAAACGAGTTTCCGCGACATAATCCTTGCGAAACGTGTTCGTAAATATGACACCTGCTTCGTCTTATTCGCGTAAATCTATTCGCTTTCACAAGGAGGAAAAGTAAGAGATTTTTACCAACCGTCGAATATTGCTAAATTAATTTCTTGTAACGACGTTACGTATTTCATATTTGCAGAGATGAGAATTCATAACTTGCTATAAATATATATAAAAATAATGTTAGTACTTGTTATAAAAAATAAATATAGCGCAGAGCTATTAGCTTTTAAATAACAGTTGAGTTTGTCAAACTTATCTAAATAACAAGTGTTAGTTTGCTTCTTTTTGTAATTATTATGAATAGCTGGCAATTCTTGGCAAAATTGATGTTTTCTTTTATTGAGATCAAAATACGTTTACGTATGCTTTAGTTTATTTGCACCATATCACCTTAATTGTAATTATTTGCAATCAAGTTAAGGTAGCTATATTCGCTTAGAAACTGGAAAATGTTGAATAATCGTCGAGTGGCATTATATATGATAAAGAAACCAGCTAGTGCATAAATTAACGTTTGGTATTAGCAAGTTCATTGAAAACTATTAAACTACTAGAAACTATCAGTCTATCGACAAATAATATCTGACAATTTACTAAAGCTATATAAGCTGTCCTAAGACTTTGAGTAAAAATTTATGTATAGTACATTTATCATATGATTTAAAAAATTTGTAATTCTAAAACTAGGATCACTTTAATAAGATACGTTTGGAAACCATGCGTTTACATAGGAACAGCTACTGCAAGTTATCAAAGTTTCAACGTTACCGCAGTTTTCCGGAACTCGTTGAGCAGCGGACGCTTTGCTAAGGGACTTTAATTTGCAAGAATTAAAGTTCACTTTTCAACTATGGAACAGTGATAAATATTTAGCTAAATATTTACATTAATTAACGTTACGTTAGCGGGGCAACATTTTGATACTTGCGCCGCCCTGGCGAAAGAGGAAGTACAAACGATGAATATTTCATGGAAACTTTTCAGGGACACGAGCTTGAACACGATGGCGGAAGTGCCCTCGAGGTACCACTTCGCGGCGCATATGGGTCAACTGATATCCGGCGTGGAAGGTCAAGGATGTCATAATTTCTACCCTACCTGCCCCCTGCCTGGCTCCAGCGTTCTCAACATGATGAAGAAGATTCGACTGCGTTGACGCTATGAAATCACGTGGACAAGCAATGAAAAAATATGACAACGCAATTTGCGATATCGCAGATAATTTTTCTCGTAACGTCGTTACGAACAGAATTTCGATTTTTTAAAAATTGTGCATAATTTCTGTTTCACTCCAAATGATGTTTCTTACGAGTAAGATATTATCGTAAAAAGACAGAAAGAAGGAAAACCTTTCTGGTGTACTTCTTAATACAAGTTAAAATTAGATAGTAACTACGGAGATAGTTAAGAAACTTATGTCTAGATTAAGTGTACTTAAGGAATAATTTCTATTATGATCATACTCGACTCTAATGAGTAGTCATTAGATTAGAAAAATAGAGTTTAATCGATGTAAGATTACTATAAACTACGCTTAAGTGTATCGAATAGTATTTCATCCCAGAAATCTCGTATATGTACGAGAGAAAAATGCGCGATAATTATTTATTTTCCGTCGTCGAGCGATCTTTGATTGCACGTCTCTACGTAAAATGTATTACGAAACCACTTGTTTTATAGTATCGAAAATAAAAAACTCTTTTGAACGTACGAAAATCATTCGCAAACCCCTTACGCTTCTTGAAAACTCTACGTCTCAAACATTTCTATCTTTCTATTTATTTCTTATTTTTGTATTCTAATCAAAGTACCAAACTTCCGAAATTGAAAAATTCCAAAAACGAGATATACAGGATTACAGAATGTCCATATGCAAAAACATACAAAATATCACAAAGTAAAACATTCACTATAGTATTTGTGAGTGAAATATTGGAAGATGAAGCAAACCTGGATTTAGATTTTATTTCTTCATTCTCTTCGTAAAGATATTTTCCATGAACGTCTTACAAATTATCCAAAATCCGCTCTATTTTCCTGTCCTTCGACTTAAATGTTTCGTTCTTTCGCATGATTCTTCTTCGCAGTCGCGTTGCATAGTATTTCGAGCGCGCCTTTGTTAGGTTGCCGGCAATTACGGGACATTTTCGGTGTTTTGAACCGTAATAGCAGTTTCCACGGCGAATCATCGTCGCTCGAACTGATTTGAACGAGCGCCTGGTCCTTATTTACCATCGGTGTACGTATAATATTCAGTGAGCGTATAAAACGTTCACAAAGACGTTCAGGCCAGGTAATGTCTCTTTCACTGGAACTCGCTCCTTGTAATTATTTCTCGTGCGCGCCGCTATGACAGAAAAGCTGGCTCTAATTTGTGGTATAGCGATTTATCTTTCCCGTTGCTCGTTATCGTTTCGCGTTTAACCCGCCTGTGATGTTTTTCCACGAAATTAAATGAAATCGACACCTGAGCATTCGATTGTCGTTGCTTGCAGCGATTATTCACGTGATGCTCTTTTATACATTTTTTCTTTTTCTGTAGTAATTAACAATTGTTCTTTTTATTACTGCGCGATTGATCTCGGTTTGCGTTTAATATATATCTTTATATTTTCACATTGTATATTTTATAGACGCCAAAAACGGTATTTTATTGGTAAAACTTTCGAATTTCGTGGATCTTACCGAAAAATTTTATATATTTACATACGTAACTCGGAAACTTCTTTGAACCCGTTGAACCCGAGCGAGAGTTGTGATCTACCACATAATTCGACGTTTGAGCAAAATTCGTTAAAATTGGTGAAATGTCCGAGAGTTTGATTTTTTTTTCTATTTGATAAACGAAATATAAATTTGACGCGTGATTGGTGTGTCTCCGTTTGGAAAATTTCATTGCCAACATTAATAAAAAATTTTTACCGAAAAACTGATCGAGCTTTATCATACAATAGTGGATTTAAACGTGATATCGTTTTTATTATGGGCAGTGACGAGGTCCCTATACCCAACAGCACCCTTAATCCGCTGAAATTAAATTTATATCCAATTACTGCCTATATTAATCGCGACCAATTTAAAACGAACGTGATTAGTCTTTAATTATTTATTCCAATTAATCGTCGTTTAAACGCAAAATGCATTCACTTTTGCAAACAGTATGTTAATAAATCGACAAATAAAAGATACAAAAATAATCCGAATTTTTAATTATAAATATTTTATGCTATATTTTCTATTATTTTGATATTCTGTGTTTTCCCAAAGGACTTAACATTCTTCTATCATGAAATTATTTCTCCTTATACTTGCTACCATTCCCTTAAGGACGCCTTCCGCTTCCTTGAAAAAAGGGAAAGCAAATCTTACGGCGGTGATCTCGCGTGAAAACAATCCGTACAATTTACAGCGGCGTCTGTAGCGGCGAAAAGTTATTGTAATAATCTCCGGCGCCTTTATCGGCTTAAGCACTATGCCAAGCGTGCTTTCTCCGCAACGATAGCGAAGAGGATCGTGCCAAAAACGATGTCGTGCAGTTACGATCCGCGGTATTCTCGCAAAAATGATCGCAGGCGTTTCGTTTATCGCGCCAACTTGCAAGAAAACAGGAGAAATATCTGGAAAAAGAAGGACCCCCCATTGTTTCGTTCGAAACAGCGTCGCCGCGTTACCAGACGTCTCGTCACGTTCGGATGAAAATGAGATTGAAAGTCGTCGTTGATATCACGAAGTTTCGCCGAACAATCGAAAGAACTTTCAAGTGTAGAATAAAATTTGTTTGATAGAAAAATTGATACAATCGACATTATTAGTAATTGGCACTTTTTAAGGTAAATTTAACGTTCGTCATAAATGAAACGTACACGACGATGAATTAGGATTTCGAAGGCATTCAACAACGGCGAATATGAACTGGCATGTTTATGGCACGGTTGTTTGTTAATGTCAGTTAAGTTTCCAAGCTTGGACAATGAGAGTCCTGCTGTTCTGTAAAATTGGAGGCTTAAGGCAGTTGCGGATTCTGAGTCTTGCGACCTTACGAGCTCAGTCTGTTAAAACACGTGGCTGCCAAACGTAGGAAAATCGGTGGATGTCCAACTGCGCAGGAGGACATTTCGCGTTAAGAAATTTGGAAGCTTCTTAGATAAATGGAATTATCTATCTTTCTCCGTACATTGCATCGAATTAATATATACATGAAAATTTTTAAATTACTCCGAACTGAAATAAAAATGAAATAAATAAGAAAGTTGATGGCTAAAATTAAAATTCATATTTAAAAACGAATAACCTTAATTGTCATTTTCTATCGTTAGTTTGAAAATGCAGATACCACCGATATTACAAAGGAGAAAATTAATTTGCAGGTAGGAAATCGACCGTAAGAGATCGCTGGTTTCTATGTAGCAAGGTAAAAGTGCATCACACACATTCGGATCGACGTGAACGGGAGTACGTAAGAAAACCTCGTTCATTGAGCAACGATTCGAATAGATTCGCGCGTAATCGTTCTCCGTGCCACGCAAGAAATCGATTATATTCTTACGGAGTAGTTGCTGCGTGATCGCACTTAAGTAGTTGCTGACACCATTTCTATGTACTATTACGAGATATCACTTAAAAAAACACCACTATCTAGTAAACACTTTCTCAATCGCTAAATTTATTCTGTCTGGAATGTTCAACCTCTCGAAAATGTCCAATAGAAGTTGCATATTAACACTTTACAGGAAACTTCTCTTTTTTCCTCAATCCAAAGAACATTGTTCGCGTCATGTAACTTCCAATTTTTTTATATTATTCGATAAAACTTCAACGTCGTACAAATGCCTCGAATCTAAAGAAACTTTACTCACAGAACCTCCCTTGAATCCAGAGAACATTTTCTATCTACATTTCACGTGTCGTGCAATTTCCACGAGCAACTTCGATTTTCACGATTCCATCCTTTTTCAATTCGAAGAAACTCTACAGATTTTTGCCTCGAAATTTAAAGACCGGCCTTCACGCACATGTCACATCTTACGCGAGTTGCACGATTAATAAAACTTCGATGTTTACACTTCAAAAGATCTTTGCGCGTTTTACAAATCCGACTGAACTCCGCGAACACATTTCACAAACTGTTCGTTCGTTCAAAAGTCAGTGCTCGATTTCTACGTTTTCTGCTCGGTCCATTGACCACCCTCGGAACTGGATGTCCGCCGCAAGCGTTAACCCCATCGCGACCAAACTTTCGATTTACTTGGACATTCGACATTCGAAAGGAACTTTCTACGCGGAAAGCACTACCAAACGTTGGTGCTGAAGCATACAGAGCTACGAAACCGTGACGATGACCTTGCGGAGGACGCGACTCGACACGGAAGAAATTAGGACGACGCCATGCACCGGTCTTGGTGGAGCACTAAATGTCGCAATCGGTCGGACGCCGTTCGTTTGAACGCGACGACGAGGAAGGGGCCGAACACTTTCTCTCGACGATCGACTGGAACCAGCGGCAGCAGGCCTACGGTCGCCCGGAGGAACACTCGACCACGAGTTTTTACCAAAGGAACAGCTAGTCTAACGTCACGTTTTCTACCGGTGATCCTGTACATCGCAACTGTCACGTAGAACAGGTCGGCGGAATCAATCGATATCGGTTCGGTGTTATCTTCCAACGAAACACGTGAATAATCGTACAAGGAATAAGAACCAAGTGGATGCGATCGAATGCGATGGATTTGTGAATGAAGTTCGAGATTGTTGGTGGAATGTGTTGCGATTGATAGAGGTTTTGGGTGTTTCTGAAGTTTCGGCTTTCCAAGTGGAACGTATTCGGATTGATTGAGATTTCGAACGTTTTCTCTGGTGGTTGCAGAGTGAATAATCGTAGGAAGAACAAGTTCCACTAGAATGGATTTGTAAATAGAGAGTATTGGTAAAGAGAGCTGCAGTTGGTCGTGGTTTTCAATGGTTGCAAATGTTTTATATAATTGTTAAAAAGCGTTGACTTGCGTGAAAGTTGCTTGAGCGGGGAATTGGTCAAAGAATTTGTAAACTTTGCAGTTGACATGCTTGAAACTGTTTGAATGAAATGGATTTGCAATTGAAAATTATATATAACTATAAGTAGAATCGGGCTTGACCGAGTTTTGATCGAATTCTCTATGGTCGTTGAGAAAAGTTGAATAATTTAGAATTTGTTTGAATGGGCAATTTATAAAATTTACGACTCTGATAGATTCGGGTGGAATGAAGTTGTGAATGGGAATTATTAACGGAGTATATCGAGGTTTGAAGTTTTTAATGTTCTCCGCGGTCTACGAAGACCGCTGAATCATTTGAAAACCAATTAAATGGAGAATTGTTCGGAGAATTTCAGAAATTTGAAATTAGAACGTGGTTGAAGTTGTGTATGGTGGTGGGATTAATATATCAGCTTCTTGCGAGGCATTCGATTTAATTTAAAGTTAATACAATGTACAAACGTTCGTGTGGAAACGATAACGATAACAGAAATAATATATGGAATAACAATAAATATGAAAACAATGCGATTAATTTGTTAGATAGCGTTCTAAGATGCAAATGACAAATGCGCGTTTGATCCTGGGATGTTGCTTCCTTGCGGTGACGTTGGTGAACGCGGCACCGGGTCCAGAGGAACCTGCCTTCAACCTTCCGGTGCAGTTGATCGGCTTCCCCGTGATTACAGCCGCTGTGAGGATCACTAATTTCGTGAAGAAACTTGCGTACTCGTTGAATCCAGGTGATTTTCATTTAAAATTCATTTAATAAAAAGGAACTGCTTATGTAGAGTCATAAAAACAATTAAAAAATACTTCGACTCGGTGACTTAGGATTTTGCAGATATTTTTTATCTACAAAATAAATAAGTATAAAATAAATAAGTAAAGAATAGTAAGAATCCAGCAGGATATCATCACGTTTTCAAACGAATCACAGGAACAGAAATCTGTCGCACGAGCAAGTTCAATGTTCTTCCACTTCGATCGCCGGTTAGTTAAGTACATTCGACGCAAAAAGAGGTTGAACTTCAGTGTATAGGTGATTCGTCTAGCCTGTAGTTTCGGGCGTGAATCGAATGGACGAGCAGCGAAAGCGAAAGTGTTCCACTTGTTGCAACTTCTCTCTCGGAATACCATGTAACGTCCGCGTAACACTCCGTTGTTTCCTGGACAAACATGTTGTCGTTAATCACTGTTTGCTCTTGGTAATTAGCGCGGATTCTAGGTAATTAATGATTATTATTAGGGTAAATTGAAGGATTTATTTTGGAATATTTGGTGAATGTAATGTGGGAGATCTTTAATAGATTTAATATTAATAATTTTCAATTGGGACAAATATTATAAATTTCTAATTTAATAAACCTAATGTTATTAATATCGTTGATATTAGAGATGGGTGCGGTGTTACAAATATTCAATTCAGTATATTCGTTCATAATATTATAGAAGGTCGACTAACTTGTGGGTAATTTCTATTTAAATTTAAATGACGTTTCTTAGGAGTAAAATATTATTCTCGTAAAAAGAGAGGAAGAAGCGGGACCTTCTTGATGTATTTTTTTAATACAAATTAAAAGTAGACAGTAGCATTTTAAACATATTTAGGAGACCTATGTCTAGATTAAGTGTACTTAAGGGATGATTTCTATTGCGATTATACTTGACTCAAATGAGTAGTCATTTAATTGCACATCTCTACGTGAAATATAGGTTTACCAATTCTGTAGTACAACATAAATCATTTGTTTTACAGTATCGAAAATAAAACTCTTCTGAACGTACTAAAATCGTTCGCAAACCCCTTACGCTTCTTGAAAACTCTACGTCTCAAACATTTCTATCTTTCTATTTATTTCTTATTTCTGTATTCTAATCAAAGTACCAAACTTCCGAAATTGAAAAATTCCAAAAACGAGATATATAAGATTACAGAATGTCCATATGCAAAAACATACAAAATATCACAAAGTAAAACATTCACTATAGTATTTGTGAGTGAAATATTGGAAGATGAAGCAAACCTGGATTTAGATTTTATTTCTTCATTCTCCTCGTAAAGATATTTTCCATGAACGTCTTACAAATTATCCAAAATCCGCTCTATTTTCCTGTCCTTCGACTTAAATGTTTCGTTCTTTCGCATGATTCTTCTTCGCAGTCGCGTTGCATAGTATTTCGAGCGCTCCTTTGTTAGGTTGCCGACAATTACCGGACATTTTCGGCGTTTTCGACCGTAATAGCAGTTTCCACGGCGAATCATCGTCGCTCGAACTGATTTGAACGAGCGCCTGGTCCTTATTTACCATCGGTGTACGTATAATATTCAGTGAGCGTATAAAACGTTCACAAAGACGGTCAGGCCAGTTGATGGTTCTTTCGCCAGAACCCGTTCTTGCTAATTATTTGTCCCGCGCACCGCTATGACAGAAAAGCTGGCTCTAATTTGTGGTATAACGATTTATCTTTCACGTTGCTCGTTATCGTCTCGCGTTTAAGGCACCTGTGATGTTTTTCCACGAAATTAAATAAAATCGACACCTAAGCATTCGATTGTCATTGCTTGCAACGATAGTTTATGTAATGCTTTTTTTAAATATATTTTTCCTTTTTCTATGGTAATTAACAATTGTTCTTGTTATTACTGTGTAATCGATTTTAGTTTGCGTTTAATATCTGTTTTTATATATTTTTACATTTTATATTTTATAGACACCAAAAACAATATTTTATTGGTATAACTTCTGAATTTCGTGGATTTTACCGAGAAACTTTATACATTTAACACAAATATTATAAATTGATACACACAATACTGGGTCAGTGTTACAAAATTTTTAATTTAGTAGACCGAGTATTGTTGACGCTCAATGTAATAAATCCAGTACTAGTAATTTCTACTTAAAGAGGATTTGTTAATACTAATTTATAATTCTATACGCGTAATGAATTGAGAATCCATTGGTTTCCGAGTTTAGTAATATTCCGTAATTATCCGTAATAATAAAAAGTTCCATAAATTATAATCAATAGCCATCAATTCCAATATTTGTCAAAACTTTCTCTTCCATGTTCCCTTTTATTTGCTATAGATATTCATAAATCTAAAATATAGTCCAATTTACGCTTCTCTTATATATCACTGCGCGTTTCATACGTATTATGAAATAACTGAGAGAGGAATTTTTAGCACCAAGGATTGATTAATAAATCGGTTTCAATATCGATAATTCGATAGAGTGTGAAATTTAGATGTGTGAAATTTGACGAGCAGTCAGCAATGACAGGCGAACACGCGACCGCGAATGGAATGCTATCGAGATATGTCAATTTTCGTTAAAGTGAACGTTGAAGGAGTCACGCCGTTAATTGGTCATTAGCTAGGGATAGTTATTTGACGGTTCTGAATGATGGAAACGTGGATTGTCACTTGGATTGATGACAGTAACCTGTCTAGGTATATGACAGCTTGTATTGGTATTCGTATAGTGCATTAACTCGTCTGACAACGATGGTTCATTGAATATTAAGAACGAAATTTATCGATTTGGAAATTGTCAAATTGAATTGGAGATCTCGACGAAGCTACCGGGAATGTTAAAGATATCGTTGAGGAACAATGTGAGAATTTTCGACAGCCATTCCATGAAGTCGTTTTGCTAATTGCGAAACGATTCTGACATTTAGCACAGTTTTACCTCTCGTTTTTAGAGACTTACGTCAACCGAGTAAGACGAGACCTGCCTTTGGTACACGACGAAGAAATTCTAGATGTTAGCCAAGTGGAGAAGAAGTTGATATCGGAGTTGGGCAGTAACGTTTGCGTTTACGAGAGAATCTGCGCCAAGTATGCGGCCGAAACTCTGCAGAAACGAAGTCGGCAACGAGCTTTGGACTGGGACGTCGTTTTCAGGTACGTTTTATTGATATTTCGATATTCGCTTGAAGTTTCAAGAACTACGTAGCGCTGAATTCGATCTAATCGTTATAAAAAAAATTAAGTAACTGATTTGTAATAAATTATTAACTCGAAAATATGTACACATCTAAATATCAGATTTAATTTAATTTTTATCTCAATCTTCTACTTTGATTCTGTTATCTTAGTCTCTTGATTCAATCTTCTTGTTACGACTTATTTTCACTGCAATTTTTTTATTTTGGAGAGTAGTCTTTTCAAAAGAAATCACATTCAAGAATTTAGATCTATTGTACGTGTACATTAGCATAGTCATTAAATGTTGATTATCAACAGATCTATCGATAGGCATTACAACACACTATTACTATTATTATCACGCTATACAATTTTCCTAGCACATTGCACGTAACACTCTATTTCTCAAACCTGTCTCCGAGATATGCAACTATTTCTCATATCTTGTCGTACGAGTATTTTTTCTTTCTTATTAATTCTCGTTTTACTTCAATTTTCCTTCTTACTCTTCAAGAACTCACGATACAATTTGACCTACTTTCCTAGAAGAAACCATAGAACTTGATACTATACAGTTTTTTTTCGTTCACTCCAACTTCTATTCTAATTAACCTGCTTCTCCGTAGAATATCCAAGGAAAGAAAATAATTTAATCTGAATACGTTGCCATTCTGCTAAACAACTGGTTTCTTTTTTTCTTTTTTTTTTTTTTTTTTTTTTTTTCTTTTTTTTTTTTTTTTTTTTTTTTTTTTGGTAAGACAGATTTTTTCTGTTTTAAAATCGTCGTTGAATTGGAGGAACGAGCAGAGGCGTAGGAGAGGAGGTATCCGAAGACTGGCTGGTAAACGCACGCGATATTAGTAGCTGGGCGACGTGGATTAGTAACTATAAGGGCATATAATTAGTTATCTTATCCAGAGCAACGCAAACTTCCGTAGTTGTACTTTGCCGATACGAACTTGTTTAATCAAGGAAGTACATCACGACTGCGCGTGATAGAGAGTTTCAAGAAGTACATTCGCTCGCTATTAGGCGCGAATCTTTGGATCAAGTTTGCCAAGTCTTGATCTTATTGACATGCCAAGGTCATCCGTCTCGAACTTACGATTTCATCGATGAGAAGTTATCTCGCGAGAAGATTAATTTTGACATCAACGTTATCTCGGCTACGCTATCGAAAATCTCTCGCGGATATATTTGAATAATTGAAAGACACGATGCGATCGTGGTGCGGATCTTTACTTTCCCCTGGCTTTGCTGACTTTTCCTTGGTAAAAGAAGTTTCTTTTGGGCTCGCTTTTAATTCATCTCTAACCTTCGTTATACAATTTCAGAGATAAATACAATTCACTAATTTACTGTTCTATCGCAGCAACGCTACACACGTTTGTTTTCCTCGCAATCCTATTTTTTCTTCTCATTTACTTTAATTTCCACTCATCCTCGTTTCAATTGCTACTGTAACTTATGCAAATTTAATAGCACACTAGCCTTCCCCGATTCTTTCTTCGTTTATTTCAATTTCCACTCGCCTTCACTTCGACTTATACTGTAACCTATGCAAATTTAACTTGCGCATTCGTTCTGCAATCTAAAAGAAAGATAAAAATACTTCAACGTTGACACGTTATCATACTTTCCAATAACACCGTATCATATTTACATAAACTTGTCATGTTCCTGGAGAAGCTCATACACTTTGCATTAATGCGTCATCATCCTCTATTAACAATCCTAATCTCGTTCATTTACATCATATTTGTTACTCAAACCGTTATACGTATACGTTTACCTTAATCGTCACATTTTCACCTTTCATCGTCCGATGCGACGAAGTTCGTGTTTCTCTCTTCTTCTCACGGAGGTCCTCGAGAGCGATCGACCGTTCCGACTGTTGTATAATTAGTCTTGGTGGATCGATTGCCAGGCAGCATCAGTAAAACAAAAGCGGTCGCGATCGATAACGCGGTTTTGCAAGTGCATCTCGATTCCATGTAGTCACTTAAGTAACCACGTCCCTGAAGTTCACGACTCAGGGTATTGACGACTGGCAAAGATTAGTTCTCAACCTTCGTTGCGCTCGATGGCCTTGCGAAACTTGGTGAATACGAAGTTTAATAACGAGCTCGTTAGTGCATCGTAGGAAAATTACTGATCCATTTGGTCGGCCAGCCGTGAAACGGCTCTTCTGTCGCCCGATCGTCTTCTTCTTGTCTTCTTTTTTCTACCTTGCGCCGTACCGATGATGTCAATCCTGACACGGCGTACGACTTTTTCCTCTGGCACCGAGGAAACGATTTCTCTGAATCAGAGATACAGCTCGGACGGTTCTTGAGACAGAAATTCCTAGAATTGCGTGAAATTACGAGAATTTGTTGACATTCCGAGAGAGAAAGAGGCGACAAAAGGTATTTGTGTGTTTTAGCGCTAGTTACGTAGTTAAGGTTGATTGAAAATCGAATCACGAATTTTGTAGTTGCTCTTTTACGCGTTCTTCGCGTTTATCGTATGTTAGGAAGGTTTGTCGTTTGTAGAAATTCAAGTGAAAGTGAGTTACGATGTTTCTGACATTTTTCAAGGATTTCATCGAAAACTAGTAAAATATTTGACAGATATGTCTGTTTCTAAGTTTTAATTATTCTCCACTGAACTCCTCTTCTCATTTATAAAAATACTTAAATTCTCATGTCGATTTCGATGAAGTCTACAAGAAGTTTCGATAATTCCGTGAAACATTAACGAAACTGCATGAATCCTTGGGCTCTTAAACCATCAAACTGTCCTACCTATCAAAATATCAGAATGCGAACAATGTCTAAAACAGCAATTCCAATTCAGCATCTCGTCACATGCTCGTTTAAAATTCATGCGTAACAATCCTTCGCGATCTCCAATGCATTGATTCCTCGAGTCATAACTTCCGCGTAGAGAAACCTCCACCTGCTCGTAAAAGTCGAAATGTGAAACGAAGGAGATGCAACGGAAGAGATTGCTTCTCTCTTCAACCGCCTTTCCTGCATAAATTCCAGGCATTCTTGGATAATTCGTCGAGAATGATCGGTCAAATAAATCATGCAGAGATACAACGAATGTGATCTGGTCTGAAGTGAAGACAATCAAACAGTTTAGATGGATTTTGGATTTAGAGGTTTTAGGAATTTTTTACGATGAAGTTCTATTGTAACTTGATTGCTAATATTCATACTTTATTATTATTCAAATTTTCCATCACGATGGACTGTTTATCAATTTATAAAGACGGGAAGAAAGAATTTAAGAGATCGACTAGAGGCACTTAGAAAGATCTGCACCATACAATAAATACAACGCTCATGAATGAATAATAAATTGAAAAAAACTTGTAAATGAAGCTTCAGTGCCATTTATGTTATATCTTTTATCGCCATAGAACCTTCATCGATTTATCAAAAATTAAAGGTCGCTTCTCTTTCCACTTGTCTCCTCTCGCTGCATAAATTCCAGGGATTTTCAGGTAATTCGTGGAGAACGATTGGTCAGATAAGTCCCCTGAAGATGCAACGAAGGTGGCCTGGCTTCTAAATGACCCGACGCTTCTATCCAACTAGTAGAAGTGGAAGCTAATAGAAATCCGTGCTACCGGTTGTTCGTAGCTAGCCGGCCACGGGCTCGCACTAAATTCAGTTGTAAGTAATGCCAGCGGCAGATAGCCCTTAATGGCGGTCTCCACGAGCGACCTAATGCATCCTGATAACTCTCTTCGTTCCACCCTCCAGCCGTTCCTTCGTTCTCCGCCGTTTTACGAGCGTCTCGAGCTACCCACCTTCGAATTCGAACGGCTTATCTGCGATTTCACGGTGCCGAGATGGCCAGCGTGTGTCCTCGAAGACGAAACGCGTCGGTTAATCGCTTCTGTCACCTGTAGGGGCAAGATAGAGGTAAAGCAGAGAAGATTCAAGGGAAATGAGAGGATGTATCGAAGGTTGGAGCTGGCAGAGACACGTTTGGAGAGGTTTAACGGAGCATGCATGAGAGACTGGCATCCTCGAGTCCCTCGCAGAAGCTATTCAAGTCGAAGGATGGAAGGTTAGGAGGTTTTCGGATGGTCAGCGTGAGTTGAGGTCTTTTCAAATTCCTTTTATTTTAGGGGTAGTTGGATCTTAGTCACGAAGAGGCGAATTAGGTTTGTTGGTCGTATTTATGTACATTTGTGGGCCATATTTGTTGATGATGTACGTGTGATACTTAGGAGCAACAAGCTTCTAGTTTTCGCGGACGATTGAAAAATATTTGAAGCGATAAATACGATTTTCGATGCCTTTGATCTTCGAGGAAACATCATCAGACTCGATCCGGTGAAAATCTCATGGATCTCGCTCAGCCAAGTACTCGATCAAATTCGCTCGTAGTAGAAACTCTATGTACTCTTCTATGTACTCTATCAAACTCTTCGATTCTAATATTTCCGTGCTTACTAGGGTGAGAGAGATCTTCGTACAATTATCGACTCCAACCTCACATTTATAGACCACTCAGCACGCGTCACCGCTACTTCTTCTAGAATGCTGGGTTTCATTAAGCGTAGCTGTGGTCATTTCAGCAACCCTTGTACCTTAATTAGACTTTACTCTTCCCTTGTACTCCCTCACCTTGACTATACCTCGGTCATCTGGCAATTCCGTATAGCCAGACAAAGTGACCAGCTTGAGAGGATCCAGAACTTCCTTCTCAGGTTCCTTGCTTGTAAATCCGCCTGTCCAATAAACGTTCGTGACTCCTATCACGGAGAAATAGAAATTCTTTCCACTTGCAACTAGGCGATTGTCTGCCGAGACTATTTTCCTATTTAAAATCTTAAATGGATTTATCGAACTGTTCACAGCTCTTAGCCTTATCAACTTTCACATATCTTCCTACTTCTCCGGGTCTCCCTGCTCATTCTATCGACCATCCTTCTCCTCCAGAGTTAGTCACACGAACACTATTGTCCGTGTATGCGAGTTAGGAAATTCAATACTTTTATACAATAAGATCAGCTTGTTTTTTACCTGAATCGGCAATCTCATGAAAAAGGTCCACGAAGCCTTAGCTAACCCGTGCGATCCGATTATCTCACAGCGACTGTATCACGCTGACACTTATCTTCCTTTTATTGTGTGGTATATATTTGCAAAATGAATCTTCCTCCGTTTAATAAACGAAAATTAAAATTAAATGAAAATCTTTTCATTCTGTTTCGAGTACGTACGAGTCTAGTTCGCGTAGAAGGGGTTATTTGCAAGGGTGGGAGAACAAATTATTATGTCAGGGATTTTTTAACTGAAAAGTTATCGTTAAAGTTCCAGTATTACTCATTTCAAATCTTCCAGTATCATGATAAATTTATTTACCAATCTACGAAAGAACGAACGTAGAACTTAAGCGTGGAAAGAATTCTAAATTGGTAAACTCACAGATGAAGCTTCATTGTCGTTTATTTCGTATCTTCCACCGCCATGGAACCATCATCGATTTACGAACAAAAAGCTCGCGAATTTGAACGATTTAGGCAAAGACACTTTCAAAAGATTGCAATGTTAAACGCGTAGAAAATTCTCCACGCGAATCGCGAACGCTCGATATGAAATAAAGAAAAGATACTCGACGTAGGTAAGAAAAATCAGATTTAAACGCTCTCGTACCGCCTATAACTTCCTCTCTAATCTCTCCATAAGCACCCTGCAATGATCCACGTTATTCTTCTTACCATACTAAAAAAAAAAAGACACGATCCAGTTACTTTACAACGTACACGCACCACGCATAGCGATTTATGTTTCTCGACTATCGCACGAACGCTCGTAACGCTTTCACAATCAAGTTCATTAGATGGTAACGTATGGGAATGATGGTTTTACAGCGAGTACAAATCATCGCCGAACCCGATGAAGGAGAATTATTTATTGAGCGTGTTCCTGGGCGACATCATAGGAAGCCCGCGACTCTGTCATCAGCTGGCGAAACGAGGGAGAGGCTGCGACGAGGCCACGCTCTCGGATTAACTGTAAACCGTACCATTTACGGAGCCGCGTACAGATTGTAAATATCGCGAAGCGTGTTGCCGGTTTGCATCGTGCAAAGGATCGTCTATCCTTGCTACATAATAATCGTAGTTGCGTAAAACGCGACGAGGATAAAATTGTATAGGGGAACTAATGACTTTAGGACCCGTAATTAATTGTTATCGCTTTGTTACCTGAAGTTCGTTGCTTATAGGATTTACCGATTAATCGTACTTTATTGTCGGTGGACTCTGAATGGAACGAGTCGTCGATGATAGAAAACTGTTAGAATGAAAAGATCCGACGAAGAGAGGGCATATTAGTTTCCCTTTTGAAAACTAACGTTCCTTGCTGTTATCGCTCGGAGAGTCTTTTAACGAAGAAACGATCTGTTGTTAATCGTTGAAAACGAATACAGTTGCTTGCAAATGTGCGATTATTTTCATATTTTATAGCTATATCGAGTGTTTTGTTAACTCTCTTGTTAATTTGAAATCTATGTTACAGATACGCATCGATAGTGGTTTCCTTTATTTCGATAGATTTTTCATGGAAAATTTGTCTGAAGTAACGCAATTGTTAAGCTGATACTTTTTTAAATCCTTGAATTCTGCGAAACGAATAGCGACTCTCAAGTTTCGATCGATTTGTATATTGCAAACAATGTACGCGATATTACACGAATTAATTGCACGAGAAGTTTAACACTGGCTCTATTTTAATTCGTGATTTTTTTTTACGGTATAGAAATGGTACAAATGTTTGACAGTTTTTAGTAATCGACAACTGCAGTGTTAAATATTCGTATTATTATGAATTACATAGGAAGAGAATTTCGAACATTTCAATTTCAAGAGCACCAAAAAGATCGGAAATGTCCATCGAATTCTTGCCACAGCAACAAAGTATCATTGATTAATTTTCTGTTGGTTAATGAATAAAATCATTAAAAGAAACACCAAAACAAGCGTACTTTGTCTTCTTTAATTCCGGTGAGGCGTAGAATACGAGTATGTTCGAAGGTGTACGCGACACACGAGCGAAAAACGGTCACACGAAGTGAGAGTAGACCACGATGACGTTTCTTCCTACCTACGCTTCTTCGGTCGAGCTTGTGTACGAAGAACGCTTTCGAAGAAAGTTCCAGTTGCCGTGGAACTGTGACACGATCATCCGCGAAGCGAAACACTCGCCGTATTCCAACAGCGATCGCAACGAAGTGCCACTGCGAAAGGAATTACCGTCATCGACCGTTTTATTCTTTCGTCGGTAAAATTCATAACCCGGTCGACGTGAAAGTTTAAAAATTCTAAACTAAATATCTTTCGACGAATGTTTCCCGTGATGGGAAATTCTAAAAAAAGTTGGCAGAGAAATTCTTCAAAAATTTGATAAACGCTAGATATTAAACAAGAAGATAAAGAAAAAATGAAGAATTATAGTACGACGTTTAGGTTGATGCTCGTTTGCCTTTTTCTTTGCTCTGAAATTCGCTCAGAGGATCAATTTCGAAGGATTCGTCGTAAAATCGGCGAGGATCGTTTTTGTAATTTTGACGAAGCTCGAAGCAATTATAATGCCACGGATTTATTAAGGTAAGCAGTAATTATATTGCAAATTTATCGTTGTCGTTACTTTTCAATAAAAGTTTGAGATATTCAAGTGGGAAACATGATTCGTCGCGTAGGTGTATCGATGAATTGGCTGTCGATCTCATCGATCGAGAAAGTGGCGTGCTAAAAGTCACCAATGGAAAAGGTCAATTGAATGGATTCACGGGCAGGCAGATCTCTTTTATGGATGTTTTCTCGAGTGTTTTCAATAACGCTGCGACGGTATGTTGGAAATTGAATTTGTCCATTCATTATGCGAATTTTATTCAGATTCGACTGGTATTTTTAAAGTTTTCGAAACGTTGAAAAGAAAAAAGTTAAAATTATAGGAATAATAAGATTGTCATTATCGAGTTCTTTATTATCCACGAATTATTTCATTACGAGGTTGGAAGATACGTAATGAACTATCGAGCGAGAACATCGTAAATGGCATTATACGAGTTTATTAGTTGGAACGTCCTTAAATTAATAATAAATTACATCGTGAAATTTAATACCGAGCATATGTTGCCGCACTAAAAACTCCAGCAATCGCTCGTCGTAAAGAATTTAATGTACTGCCGATTATCGGTTATTACGAAAGCACATGAAAATACTATTAAATACTGTAGGTTAATTTTCTTTAAAGTCACTGATAAACATTCCCTTGTATACAACATCGAAAGAAGACAAAAGAGACCAGACGAAACAAACGAAGTTCGACTTTCTAATTCTAATTTCTAGCTAAGTTTTACTACCCCTAAAAAAAAACAATATTCACTCGTGAAAGTAAGAGCCTTTCATTATAAGAACTTCTCACAGTAGATAAACTGTTCTGGATATATAATTAGCATTAAATTCTTTGAAAAGTAAATGGCACATCTTCGCAAGATTTTTTATCGCGAAAGGTGAGAATAAAAACTGAAAAACAAATGTATGTTTTCATTAAAATGTCTCATAAAATCGTAATCATGGAAATAGAAATTATCCTAGTGTTGTTTGTGCTCCTTAAAATAGCGTAACCTTATTCTAAATAATATTTTTATAAGAACAAAAATAACAGAAATGTTTAGAAATTTTTATATAAATGTCTGCATAAAGTTCCATTCTTTTCGGCATATTCGACACGCAAAGAAGTAAGTAACCAATGGTCTCCATGTTCCTGCATCTACGCAGAAAATTGCACAGCTTTTCTACTTACAGTCGCATCAGAGCAGCTCCCTTCCGGTGTACCCGATTTCCGACTATCAGCAATCGAATTATCCGAGTGAAACCGTCGGTCTTTCTCCTGGATTTCAACTGAATCTGCTCGATACGCTGTCCACGATATCCAGCCACGATGACTACAAGTGTGTGCCCAGGATACTCTGCGAGGTGGCCAGCGGAAAACTTCCTGGAAGATCGTTAGGCAAACAGAGCTCCGGCTTCTTCGAGTTGCTCGGTCGAAATGTTTTCACGGAGTACGTTTCGTGCCACGAAAATCAATACAGTAATAGTTGCCGAAGTAGATATTTCTTCTTCGACGAACATCGAGAGCCTCTCGATCGATTTCTTTTTGTGTTTTCAGCTGGCTAACGAAAATCGATGTCGCTGGAATGTCTCCATTGCTGAACTTTGGTAGAGCGATGATTCTTGGATATAGCAATCGAGGAAATTCTGTGGCCTGCTACGAGGCGTTTCCAAAATGTCCACGAGACACGAATGGATTGATTTACTATCTGAATAACTATAATGGAGGGTTTTTCAATCTTTTCAATAGGATTCGAGGTGGAAAATACAGGACGTCTAACGGAGATCCTGGTCAGCCAGGTAAGGAAATTATAGATTCGAAGGTTGGGAATCTTTTGTCGATAACTGGACGATCGGATAAATTGTCTAATTTCTTGTTTCGTTTAGTTAATGATTATTCGAAGATCGAAGTGAGGGAAAGAATAGTCACTGGGAGCTCGACGGAACCCATTCGGAATGAACCAGTGCTAAATACGGTTCAATTTCCATCTATAGAATATCAAAAATATTATGCAAACGGAGAGTATCCAAGATTTGATACGATAAGAAATTACAATGCGATTACTTTTCCCGATCAAAGAGAATTAAGCATCGAACCAACGAATAGTTTACAGGATGACGTTGCAAAATCGGAACCGTACGTTTGGCAAAGAGACAACGTTGCATTCTTTCCCAAAGTAAATTGCATAAAGTACACCAAGTACGAATCGAAATTCCCTCTGTATTAATTACATGTACGTTATTTCAGGAAAACCAAGACAGAAGAATCTCTCGATTTCGATTCCCCTCGAGGTTTACAATCGCACCGTCGTAATCCGAAATTGTAACATCGAAATACGTAACCAAATACCTCAGTGAATCCAATGCATCTAATTAAATAAAGGTTTCCATAAAACGCATAAAACCATAGAATATTCTAAACTCCTTAACTCGTCTTCGGGGGATTACGACCGCGATAAAATATCGAATTTCAATTTTGCATCGCATAAACCAGACGCCTTCCGTCGCGCGTTGCGAATTTGCGGATTATCAGCGGCGAGAGAACCGCTGCAAAGACGCGATACAGGTTTCCGCGAGGCAACGTCGTTTATTTCGTCAGCGTTGCTCCCATCGGCAATTTTCTATCCACCTGTACGCGATACGCTCATAACAGGAAGTCCCGAGTCGCCGGTGAACGCGATGTTACTGGCGCGGACGCCATTTGTGGAAACAGCATGGGGCGCCGTTAGAGTACCGACAACTTGTCCAATGAATCTGCGGCCGAGTATGAGCCGCTTTATGTCTCAGTTACGCGGCACGATAAATTGTATTTTATCTCGATTCGATTTCCTGCTTGCTACCGGTGCATTTGTATGCGTGCACGCAGGTGTGAGACTTTTTCAGGGGCAACGAAGGACGATGAAAGAAATCACGGTGAATCTAGAGTAACATATAAGTAATATAAACGGAAGATGAGTTAATAGAATTATATATATAGTTAGAAGGAAGATGCTATAGTAATATTTGATTACTTGTGGAGGAAATTATTAATTGGACGTGACGTTGGAATTTATTAAACTCGTTTGTTCAAGATAGTATGATAATTATAATTTGAAGAAAAGCGGATGCATGAGAATTTGATTATAGTAATGTTGACAATAGTAATTAATTGTAGCAAATTGAGTTAGGATAATTTGACGCGGCTATGGAGTTAGAATATCGAGTAATAAATGAATTACCATTGATTACAATTTTACGTGGTAAATGATATTATATTATCGATAACTGGCACAGGCACTGCTGTTTCTAAAAACATACCTTTAAAGTAATTAATTATTACTTTTACCTAAAAAAAAAGTGTTAAATATTCACTTCGGGTTAAGTATATTTCACTTGAAATATTTTTAAATGGATTCGTTTTTGTTGTTTTCGTTTTATAT